TAAAATAATAATTAGTATAGTTTAAGTAAACATGTTTGTTTGGAAACACAACTTGTATCTTTGCTCATTTTCGCCGGTACACCAAGTGTTTTGCGGCAAAATAAATGTGTGGTTAAGATTGATTCTCATTCTTAACCTTTTTTTTTCTCAATTGAACCCTCCCATATATATTATATATATATATATATATATATATATATATATATATATTATATATATATATAATATATATATATATATATATATATATATATATATATATATATATATATAGGTTTAGGTTATATGGAAAACAAAAAACCGTAAAAATCATAAAAATGCATAAAAATACTTAGAGATCACAAAAAAAAATTTTGACTTTATATTATGAAAAATCGCAGGTTTTTATATAATTTCGCTGAAATCTTTTTTGAAAAAAAAAAGAAAATAAAAAAGTAAAAAAAAAATAATAATATGCTGACAAAATAGGTGAAAGGTAATAGTGAAATGCATCCGGGAACGATGTAACGCATGTAACCATATATAATGACGGAAAATGACACGATATAAGTAAAAATAATATGATGAGGAAGTAACAATGATATTTTACATCCTCAAAATGTTAAATGAAACACATTATAAAAATAATATGATAATGCATGTAACCAATACAATATTAGATGATATAAAAAGGTAGATATCAACAACTACTGCATAAAGGCATGTAATGATGTAACATGATGCAAAATAGCACTACACAATAGATGAAAATAATATGATAAGAAAGTAAGAATATAATTGTACAATTTCAAAGTGTTTGATGAAATAACAGTTAGTGAGCTTCGATAATGACACATGGATAGTGATATTCCTTTGTTCAGGTTGTATAAAGGCTTACCTATATGGCTCACACCAATGAGGATTTATTAGGATAGACAAGAATATAGCACACTTGAATTGTATTGGTTAAGTGCTTTTTTCTTGTTCTACCCACCGACAAGAATTTTCTAACCTCACAAAAATATATAATGTCGTATTCATCTTATAATAAATTTTAGTTGTAAAATTTGAAAACTTGAAATCCATATACATGCATACAGCTTATTGAAGTTAAGAAAATAGATGGATTGCATTTAATTGATCACAACACCTTTTTTTGTTCGATTATTATTTTAAAGGGTAAATAATAATTAGTTATATTTCACACATATAGGATTGATTACTCATTTATTTAAGGGGTTTTGACCGGTTTAAGGGGTTTTGACCGTGACGGAGTTTGAACTTTTGGTTTGGGGGCCGAAAGTATAATATGTATAAAAATTGAAGAACAGGGCGGCCACAATCATATTTTATAGTTTTAGGCTTAATATATAATTTTTTTTAATAGTTATGGACTAGTCCTTAAGAAGATACGTCCATGGTTTTGACATAAAAGTCCTTAAGTTTGATAAGTGTTTTGGACGTATTCGGCAAAACTAGTTGGTAGCGGGAAGCTTGTAGTGGGTAGCAGATAGCTTGTAGGTAGTAGCATTTTGTTTGAACTAAACGCTAGAAGTTTGTAGTGCTAAACGAGACTTTCTGTTCAAAACGGAGCGTTTTGTCAAACGCTAGAAGCAAAAAGCTCTTAAACACTTCCAAACCTTACGTGCCGAACATATGTGACAATTTTTTGTTTGTTTGTTCGTTAATGTCAAGTTTGCCAAAAATAATTCATTTTTTCCCCTTGTTATCATTAATAGCAGGTTTTCATGGACAAAACCGACAAAATTTGACAAACTTGAGGATTATTATGTCAAATTTGAAAACAACACTTTTGGTAAAAAAATAAATAAGTACAAGATTTGTAAAATTAAGGTTTTTTTTAACAAATTTTGGATATTAACCAACAAAAAATCAAAGACAAAATTTACAAAATTTGTCAAAGAGTCTTTAATGTAAAAAACCCTTTATTTAACCAAGTTTGGTCTTTTCCGACTTTATGTATTGATGTTTGTTTATATAAAGCCACATAAGTACTTCATGTTGTATTTTAGACTTTACAATTAAACAACGATAATTAATTATGTGAACAAATTATCGTACCGTTAATAATTATGAAAACAAACAAACAAATAATTAATATCGATGATTAATTACATGGACGATCATCATCATCATCATTATTATCAAGTTTGTTTAGAAATTAGACGCATCATTCACGATTAAATCTAATCATAAGAAAGGTAGATGAAGACTATCTTGTTATCATCGGAAAAATTAGAAATGAGACAAAAAAGGTAAAACCAACATGAAGATTGTGGATACTTGATTACTGAAAGCTGGACATAATGACTCATGTCCTAAAAGATTTTGACATCGCTCGAAGGTTGTAAGCGTCAACGTAAATCTCACGATTTAATGCAAATTATCATTTTTTCATCATCTACGGAAGAACCAGTAAATGCAAAACAAATGCTCGGAAACTGGAAGAAATAATTCTAAAACATACTACTTGTTGAATTCACAGATGGAAAAGAGAGCAGAGGAGATCTCGAATTTGGGTTGTGGAATATGGCTCTAGAAAAGTTGTATTTATAGTTTTAAAAACCTTAAGACTCTAAAAAACACAGAAAGTGAAGGCAGTTGCCCTATCACAACACACCACATGTCATGCGGTTTAACTACATCAAACCCTAATCGAAGACGCCATTTTATCCGAGTAACACATTTTCCGAAGGATTCTAGAAGCTTCCACGAGCATATCCATGAAGTTAATACGTTGATCGAGTGGGTCCAACCCAATCCAATCGAATCCCGCTGAAACTAAAAGCTCCACGCGAATCGTGCTAAAAATAAAAGCGCATTAACTCTTAATGATGATGCGGTGTGCAAAATGCATAGCGTGCCATCAACAATTAGGTGGTGTTCGTTTTTAAGTGGTAAAATGTCTTTAGTCTTTTTTAATGCTTGTGGAAGAAGATGTGGACCAAAAATGTTTTTTCCATGTCTTCATATAAAAATTCTTCATGTATAAGATTGTTTATTTATAATATCTCTAGTCTTTTTAATTGATTCAACTTTACCAATATATATAAAATATACATGTATGCAAGTGCAAACTAGGCAAAATCCACAATGATTCTCCCAAACAATAACATTATGTTACATCCAAACTATTATAGGCAATATAGTTTCTTTACGAGAGAATCTTAACTTCAATATGTCTTATTTCCCAAAAAATCTACACTAGGATTTGATTCATATTTAATAAGAACTTACAAATAAAGTAAGACGTTGTTCGGAATACCTACAATGCCAATTACCAAGCACTTAAAAGTTAATGAACATTTTTGAATAAAATAAAAGAGCTCAAATGTTTGAAAAAAAGTTTGAGAATAGAAGCAAACTCCCACCGAATTGATTGTAACTCAAAGAATGGTATTTTTGACCTAAACGATTACTACAAAAATCAATAACTTCAAGATTCTGCAACCCATTTATATATGGTACACTCCCATTAAACAAATTATTTGAGAAATCAACACCACCTAAGGTTTTTAAATGATAAAGTGGCAGATGAGATTTTACCATTAATTCATACTCCTGGATTTGCAGAGGGAAAAGAATAATGGCTTGAATGTCATGTCATCAATGGAGAGGACCCAACATAATATAGATTGAGAGGGAGAGAAGAAAAAAGAGAAACGAAAGAGGAGAACGAAGAGTGGCATAAAAGTTCATACCTAATCAACCGTCAACAGCGGCGACGTTGAGCGACGAAGGCGAAGCAAGGAGAACCGGAAGCGGAGCAAGGAGTGTCGGAGGTGGAGCATGGAGCGATGTTGGCCAACATGGGGGATGGCCAACATGTGGAGATTACAGGTGGAGGATGTAGTCGATGAAAGGGAACAATCAGATAGAGGTGTGAAGAAAAGATAGGTTTGAAGGAATTGAAAGTTATATTTTAGATATTTTTAGAAAAGAGATTACAAAGTCTTTTCGAAATATTTTGTCTTCTAAAAAACAAATAAGTTTTTCGGCAAACATCTAGCCGCCCTAGACATAAGTACCAAAAAGAACTAGCATAAAACAAACACAACCTTACTTACCATAAAAAAACAACACTTCTAAATGGGCTAACTAAAAAGTGATTGGGCTCAAATCCAAAACTTGTTAAGAATGAAGTTAACAACTTAAAGAAGAATACATCTATCATATCGAGATTGTGGTTGCTCAAAATTTCTGAATATATTTTGGGGGCACCCTTTAATTATTAAGAAGTTAAAACAACGAGGTGGAGGATGTGGTAATGAGAAACCTAGGACACGATGGCTTTCCATTCATTTTTATTAAAAGATTTTGGGATGTAATCGACGAAGACATTTAACTTTGCTATGAAATTCTTCGAAAAGCATTGTACCTTTAATCCCGGAAGTAATGCATTCTTTATCACTTTAATTCCTAAGTATAAAGACCTTTTAAATCTTGCGGATCACCGTTTCATCATTCTCATTGGTTGCATTAGTACAATTATTTCTAAATGTCTTTGTCGAGCTCGTAAAGGGTGTGATCCCCACGATAGAAAGTAAATAGCAATCCACTTTCGTCTGAGGAACGAAATGATAACTTAGGCAAAGAAGAAGAAAAAAAATGATGATCTTCAATGTCAATTTTGAAAAGGCATTCAAGACGCTTAATTGGAACCATCTAGATGACATTTTGAGGCAAATGGGTTTCAAGTAAATGGGCTGCAACAAAAGACACGACACATCATCTTGAACATATAATCTTTTCTAAAACTTGAAACTAAAAAACAAAAATAAATGACTTTACATAATGCATCCATGAACAGAATGAAGATGAACACATATCACTATACAATATTATATATCACCGCAACCAATTGTAGCACAAAACACAGAACAACATGAACGATTCCGTAAAATTGTGGGGATATAATCAAGCCAAAAACTAGCCTGTTTTCGATGCTAAAACTAGCATTATACATAATAATTACAACAAAAAAAAACATACCTAAATTATCATTTCACCATGATCCTTGAAGGAAGACAAAGACACGACATATCATCTTCTTCAACCATAACCCTTTCAACCATAAGTTTCACCATGGATTCACCATCGACACCCTGTTTCTGCTTCTGCTTCGCTTCCATAAACCCTCTATACAGAACACTATCAATCCACTTCTTTATATCCTCTTTTCTGTCAGATAACCAACAAGATGCAAGAATCTGTAACATTACTTCATTCTCGATCTCCAACAACACATTTGATCCGATTGATTTCTGAAAGCAAACACTGATTTCTTTCAAAATCGTTTCTGCAAGTGAGTCGAAATCGAACGGTTTCATCACCACTTTTTCATCAATTCCTTCTAAAAACTCATCCAACCACACTTTTTGAGATCCCGATTCCGTTTCATCCTCACTCTCTTCCGATTCATCAACCGGAAGATTCAAATCAAAACCCGATTTCAATTTCTTGATTCCCGGTACCATTATCTCAAAATCCCCGATTTCAATAACTTTTCTTTTGTTATAAGTAACGGGATTTCTAGAATTTAACCGTATAGGTGAAAGGAGTACACTCGAGGTTCCGGGATCCGTGAAACTTTCAATCAAGATTCTCATTTGAAAGGGTTTGGCATTCATGATTCTTTCCTCGGAATAGGTGATTCCGTTTCCGTTTCCATTTCCGTCCCCTTCTTCACTACTACTCAAGGTGGTTACAAAGATGGCATCAGTGAGGCGGATTTCCCGACCATGGGAATCGGACAATTTCCCTGTCTTGATGGCCTGAGATAAGTTCTCTTTAGTGACAAAATCAGCCTTGTCTATGTATTCAAGAAGAACAATTGACCGAGGTTTCTTGGTTAACTCTTCACCGATGAAATCCGTAATGGTCTTTCCTCTGAATGACAAATCAGAAAAGTTTACAGTTTTCCTGTCAAAAACCGAGCTCCGATGATGTATCTGGTTTTCAAAATTCAAATCTATAGAAATCAGGCTATCCCGGTTTCCAAACACAACTTCACCAATTGCTTGACTGATTTTCTTCTTCCCGACTCTATCGGGCCCACAAAACATAAACCAAATATTGCGCCTTTTGTCCCCGATTCTACACCGCGTAATCGTTTGGCTAATGGCACGAATCGAATCATCTTGATACCCGACTTTATCAACAAGAGCTTTGTATACTTGCTTAAAATCTTTTTCGTAAGATTTTGGTATTTCATGGGCCTCGACATAGATTGTTCCGAGGCCCAAATCTGTTGTTATGGAAGTTGGTGGTGACGATGATGGTGTGGTTGTAAAAAAGTCGACGGGTGGTGATAGATTTTTACATGGGCTTTGTTGGTTTGAATCTTGGATGTTGATTTCAGCCCGTTTGGAGTCGGGCTGAAATCTCCAATCAGAGCCCGTTTCCGTTTGGAAACGGGCCCTGATTGGTGGTGATGAGGGATTGCCATGGAGACGGCGACATATGTCGTTCCATTTCCTTTGCAGCCCGGTCACCCTGACATTGAATACACTGCCATGGTCTATAGCCTGCACTGAAAAGATTGGGCATATGTTGAAACTTATATTTCTTCGTATAAAACAATAAAATTTGGTTATTCCTATATAAAAATAGCAGATTAAAAATATAGATATATAATTATGAAGAAATTACACACCTGTATTCCAGTGTTTCCTTTGGTTAGATCAGATTCGGGATTTTGCAACCAAGAAGCTAAACCCACGGACTGTTGATCAGCAACAGACACTGTTGTTCCTCCTTTAAGAACAATGGAAACTTCATGCTCATACTTCTCGTTGCAAAGGTCACAACGAGTTACAGATTGATCTGAGTTTCTTGATGAGTTTTCGAACTCGGTTTGTATAGGGAAGAAGCCACCAAATGGCACAAATGACCCCATCAAGCTGTAATTATTATATCATGAGCATCGTACTGTGTGAGATTATGTAGGCAATATCAGAATTAGCACCAAAGGGTTTCCTTTATTTTATATATAATAATAAGTTAATAACTGATGACATGGTATTTGTAGCTTTATAGTACAAAATTACTTACTTGGATTTCAAGGGTTGTGATGCACCAGGACTCGATTTAGAAGACGTGATTGGAAGCAGATTCAAGTCCCATTCTTTCTCCAGGGATGGGAATTTGGCTGAAAGTTTCATGTAAGTTTCATAACTTCCAATGGATCCAATCAACCATGATTTCCCACTAACCAAATTGCTTAATTGTGAAACAAGATAGTCGAGAACGCCAGATGATTTCCCATCAAAGAAACAGCTTCAATTCTCCGAGATTGAGAATCACACCGGAGTTTGTGCAGGTGTCGATGTTGTCTCTTACCTCCTTCAACTTCAAATTCATCATATCTTCACTCAAATTCCCAACAAGAAACTCACGGATCTCCTTCTCTATGTTGATTACGTTTAATCCTTGTAATTCGGTAGGCAAGAAATCTGTTTTACCCATCATTAAAGAATCTGTGAATCCAGCGAGGACATGGTCAGCGGAAACCCCGATTAGGAGTGGATTTCTTGAGGTTTTCTTGGCTAAGACTTGCCCGATTCTTTTGAAATCTTCTTCTCCTTGATCAACAGCAAATGGGAAATTAAACCCGGCCCGATTGGTATTCGAATCGGGTAGGTTACAGAGGAACAGAGGCGGAAACCTCATCATGGATTTCTGAAACCCAGAAACTGTTGGTGGATGTAAGATTGCGATTTTGATATCGGTGCTTCGGAAACCCGCATCGCCGAAAACCCGACTAACAATTGGGTCATCGAGAATGGACAAGATGAAGTGTTTGAGTTCGACTTTAACACACGACAACGAGGATTGAGAGTTGTGCAACTGTTGATGCATCTGGTACAAATGAAACGTCTCCGGATGCCTCCGTTGATTCGCCTGAGACCGTTTGATTGCTGCCATGAGTGAATTGGAAACCGGTGGTTCGTCATCTGATGTTTTGCTTTTAGAAGAAGGAAGACGATCGAGGGAAACGGTGACACAGAGCTCAAGCGCACGAAACTGGAGACGAGGGGAGTAAGCGGAGCTACGCGCCCGAGCACACGCGTCACGTAAGATGGATGTCGGCAGGGATAAAAGAGCGGAGACGGCATGAAGAGAGGTGGTCTGGGAGTGACACCGCCGGCGGGCGACGGCTACAGCATCATCCAACGCACGCGCGGCCTCGTCAGTTAAACATTGCCTGGCTGAGCTGACCGGCGTTGGCATCGCCGGTAAGCATATATACACCCACAATTACACGTATATACAAAATCAAAAAATATAAAATAAATAAAAAATCGTAGTATTATTATAATCACAGAAGCTTGCTGCAAATCTAAACGTCAATAAACAATTATTGAGTAGTGTTCACTTCAATGCCTTTTGCAATTATTTATTGAGATAGGTGATGAAGGGGGCATTTTTGTTCTTGGGTTTTTCAGTGGGGCCATGAAACAAACACATGGTGAGCATAGATTCTTGAAGAACATCAATGAAAGATTAGAAAGATCTTTCTGCGTTCGTCTTTATATGGCAGAATGGTAGTTTTTAGCACTGTGTGTGTGTGTTGCGTGTGTGCGATAGAGAAAGATGCCGTGTCCACTTGATAAACAAATGGGCCAAGCTCGGCATCAATGGAAGTCAAGGTCACTGTCATGCTTTTTAGAGAGAAAGAAAGTTGTTTTTGGATTCAACAACCCTTTAATCTAATTACATAATTTAACTTAGTCCTCACATAAGCTTTTTAGAGATAGATTTAACACTAATTGGGATAATTTAAGAAACGTATTCTACGTAAGTGATCAAAAGTATTTTTATAAATATTTTCTGAAGGTATATGCAGGGCTTTATTATCAAATAGTATATTACAAAGTTTAAATTGACAAATAACTTTTTTGATAATATATTCTTATTTGATTATGATATTTTTGGCCACTTACAGTAGCTTAGTTGTTTGTGGTTATTTTATGACTTATCAAGGTAATTAACTTTCCGGTATTTTCATATCTGGATAAATATTTTTTTTTTGTACACATCTAGGTAACAAACTTGTTGGAAGTGTTCATATATGACCATTATGACCTGCTATAGCAGGTTAAATCCTAAATGTGAACGTTTTCAACAAGTTCGTTACCTAGATGTTTACAAAAAAAATAGTTATCCAAATATGAACAAAACGAAAAGCAAAAATTAAATTACATGAATGGTCCATGTGGTTTGGGAGAATTTGTGTTCTTGGTCCCTAACTTATTTTTTTAACTTTGATGGTCCCTATTGTTTATTTTTGTTGCGCGTTTGGTCCCCGTCTATCTTAAAAAGACTATTGTGTCATTATTAATTTATTTTTTAATTAATTTTCTTATTTATGTATTTATTTTTTACATATTTTAAAAAATTAATAGACCTCACATATTTGTATCTCTCTTCGGATGATCTCTACTGTTTATTTTTTAATTAATTTATTTTTTTAACTCGGATGATCCTTACTATTTATTTTTGTTACGCGTTTGGTCCCTGTTTTACCTAAAAAGACTATTTTGCCCTTATTAATTTATTTTTTAATTAATTTTCTTATTTATGTATTTATTTTTTATATATTTAAAAAAATTAATATACCTCACATATGTGTATCTCCTCACCGTAAACCTAAAACCACATTTGAGAACTTTAAATTGGGTCTTACCGGTCACCATCCTATTTCTCATCGTCCCCAACTTCTATTTCTTTTCCATCTTTAGTAACATCGACGTCTTCATCGTCCTTCTTTTTTTGGTACTTCAACTCTGGTGAACCAACACCATAACCTACTGTCTCTTCATCTTTAGTAGGTTGTGGTGTTGATTCGACGGAGTTGAATGACCGAAAAAAGAAGGACGATGAAGACATCGATATCACTAAAGATGGAAAATAAATAGAAGTTGAGAAGGATGATAGATGTGATGGTGAGGACATACATATATGTGGGGTCTACTAAATTTTCTTAAATATATAAAGCATAAGTACATAAACAAGAAAATTAATTCAATAGTCTTTTTAGGTAAGACAGAGACCAAGTTCGTAGTGACCATCCGAGTTAAAAATATAAATTAATTAAAAAATAAACAGTAGTGATCATCCGAGGAGAGATACAAATATGTGAGGTCTATTAATTTTTTAAAATATGTAAAAAATAAATACATAAATAAGAAAATTAATTAAAAAATAAATCAATAAGGGCACAATAGTCTTTTTAGGAAAGACAGGGACCAAACGCGCAACAATAGTTATGGACCAAAAACACAAATTCTCCCAAACCACAGGGACCATTCGTATAATTTAATTTTTACTTTTCGTTTTGTTCATATTTGGATAACTATTTTTTTGTACACATCTAGGTAACGAACTTGTTGAAAGCGTTCACATCTAGGATTTAACATGCTATAGCAGGTCATAATGGTCATATGTGATCACTTCCAACAAGTTTGTTACCAAGATGTGTACAAAAAAAGATAGTTACCCGGATGTGAACATACCGAAAAGTTAATTACCTTAATAAGTCATATTCCCTTTTTTTTATTAAATCGTTAGGTTTGATAAACTAAAAAATAAACTTATTTTCTGAAAAGATTATCAAAATGTTTTTATTGAACATTATTTTTCGGTTAACAGGTACCTTTTTAACTATCAATTAATTTTTTATCTAGCGGTTAGTTATTTAACTTTTAAACCTGTCTACCAAAAATAATAAATTTATGATGTGTATAGTTTTGTATAATAAATACCAAACATATGGGTTTTATTTTGTTTATTGTATTTTAATTTGATGGTAATAATGCTTTTTATTGTATTTCAATTTGCTGATAATAATGCTTGAGGGAGTGGGTTGCGGCGTGAGTGTGGTGTGGATGACATGGTTGTGGCTTAAATCATCGTGTAACATTAGCCGACATCCATAATCTTTCTCTCTCTCTCTCAATATATATATATATATATATATATATATATATATATATATTGTGCTTCACATCGTCACTTTATTGTGCGACATGAGCCGAGCTGAGGCATCCCTAATCCATCTATCTCTCTCTCTCTCTCTCTCTCTCTCTCTCTCTCTCTATATATATATATATATATATATATATATATATATATATATATATATATATAGGGGAGGGTTCATGCGAAAATGCAAATAATTTGCGAAAACGCGAAAACAAGAAAAACCTATGATATTGTGTCACATCAACATTATATTTTGGAAAATAATTCATCCAAACTTTGAAATACATGATGATAATCGATGATAGATGGGAAATTGTTTCATATTAGCAAAGTATGATTTTTAACATTTTTATTATGAAAACATATATTTATAAATGATTAAAGACGTGAAATTTTTTTTATTAAAACTGTCTTTAAATCTATATTACCATAACACCATCCAATGTAAACTTAGTATCTTTAATTTATTGCTGATAAATTTATTTTTTTATAGTACATGTGTTTGATTTTTATAAGATAAAATCTGTTTTCGCGTTTTTGCAAGATATTTATGTTTTCGCATGAACCTACTTCTATATATATATATATATATATATATATATATATATATATATATATATATATATATATATATATATATATATATATATATATATATATATTAACATGTTAAGATGTTCCTAAATAACATATATTATACATCTAACACAAGTATATGAACTTTTAGTACGATAAAGTCAGTTTTCTAGTTTTTGACTTTCTTTACGTCACCAAACGGTAAATATTGAATTATTAACTTTGTAAAATTTATCGTTACCTTTTTGTGACGTTTAAGTCAAGTTATCCTTACATGTTTAAAACAACATATTTAGGTCAAGTCTCACGGAAATGGTACCATTTTTGTTAAAAAACCCTAAATTCTTTTTTTTTACACAAAAATGATGGATTTTTAGGTTTTCCTTTTTTGTAAAAACAAAATCCTTGGTACTTATAACTAGTATCATATCATATGTCCAAAATAACATATTTTGATTTATATCCCACAAAAATGGTGTAATAAATTGGTTATAACCATTTTTGTTAGAAAAGTCATATTATGTTCATAAAAAAGTCATAGTTTTTATAGTTTTGTTTTTATGTCTTTTTCTTAAGAACATATAGCATGTTTATACTCATTTTTCAAAGATTTGTATTTTAAACAACATACCACACATAAATGTTCATAATACTAGGTAATAACGTTATTTCATGTAGATAACATTTTTACACAACATGAAAATAAAGCATGTATAACAACTTGTACAATTATACAAGTTTACTTGTATTCCCCTCCCCCCCCCCTCCCCTAAAACTTGGATAAAGATGAAAATGAGGGGTATGAACTCACTTTGAGTGTGTTTCTTGGTGGATAAAGAGGTGAAGATGAAAGATTTCAAGTTAAGAACACTTGAAGATTGAAAGATCCTATGGATATTAACACATATTAATATGTGTAATTGTAACAAAACTAGTATATATATATATATATATATATATATATATATATATATATATATATATATATATATATATAATCACTAGATTAGTAAGGAAAAACTTACCAAAAGATCTAGAACCAACATATGGAAATTAATCTTGAGAGAGAGAGAGAGAGCTTGTTCTTGAGGAAGGAGATGAACAAAATAAAGAAGATGGGATGAGGGGGGGGGGGTATGGGGGCATGCTATAGTTTCTTGAATTTAATATTCAAGTATGACTCTTTTAATTTAATAATAATACTTTATAAAAGGGAGTAATAATCATATAAGACAAATGTGGTCTTTTAGTTTATTTGTATAAAAATAATGGGTAATTTTTATAAGAGTTGGTGATTTTATAAAAATTGTGGTAAAAATGATGTATAATTACTTAATTTGAATAATCCAAATTCAAATTATTATAAAAATCATTATCATAAAAAATAATTACACATTCCACGAGAGTTAGGATGATTCCTAATTCTTTTCGTTAAAGTTTGAGTGTTTAAGCCGGGTAAAGAATTTGTCGCATTTGGTGACGAATTCACCAAAAAAATCTGAATATGTGACCTTTGTTATGAACTTTTTATGTAGCATAAAGTTTATAAACTCAACTACATTGTGTTATGAATATTATTTATACCTAAATAATATATAATTGAATTATCGAATTTTTACGTTACTAACCCTAATTAGGGTTTATATTTAATAATTTGCAATAAGAGAGGT